AGCATCTTCTTTTTCCACAGCCCATTTATTTTCAGCTATACCAGCTTGATGTAATCCTTCGGATAAACCTAAAAATCATAATAACAAATTAATTCACGATAACTTTAATTTCTTAAAATGTAAAATAATTTTAATCTATATTTACCACCACAACCAGCAAAAAGATCTAAAGTTCTCAATGGTTTATCTATTTTGTTATAATCAATAGGTTTGTCAATAAACTTCTTTGTTTCACTATTCTCTGATTTTTTACCCTTTCCTTTACCCTTGCCTTTACCAATTTTACCAATATTACTAGCCTGATAGGATGGTTCATCAAATGTTTTTTCTGAAGCATTGTAAGCTTGTGTAAAATAAAAACGATATGGACCTTCTGAAGACCATTCTTGTAACGACTTATCTAAATTTTCTGAATAGATCAAATAGCATTTTCCAGTTACTTCAGAGAATTTCACATTACACACTGAAACGAATTAAACCATATATATATATGGTGTATATATATACATATGCATATATACATATAAACCATAAAATATTTTCTATATGCAGTAAAATTTATATAAATTTACCTTCATCGCTCCAAAATAACATGTTTAAATCAGCTTGATGCATTAAATTAAGGCCTTTGTGTGTATTCTCTGGTCTATACAATTTATTTACTTTAATCCAGATATCAGAAGAAGCAACTAATTTATTAGTAGTAGTAACATATATTGTATTTATATATCCAATATGAAAAGGTTCAGGCGTATCATAATTTGAACCCTTTACGTGTTCTGATGATTTTCGATAATATTCTGGATACATATCTTCATCTACCTTTCCTTTTTTTGGCTTTAATATAGTATGACTTGTGATTGTATATTTAAATTTTATAGCACTTGGTGATAAAAATACTGCACTTCCAACTCTAAATTCTTCACCTTTATATTTAATTACACCATAGATCACTTCTTTGTTATTTCTTTCTTCTATAAATTCGAAAACCTTGAAAGAGAAAATAATTAGTAATCGAAAAGAAATATTTTCATCTTGTATTTTTAAATGTTTTTCATACCTTGGGTGTATAATAATATTGCAAGTCGGTAAAACGTACACACGCAGGACAAAAGCGATGACTAATATCCTTTCGCGGACAAATAGAATCTAGAGCAGGATCTTCAAATCGGGCAGTTTCAGAAGTATACCGTTTTTGATAAAAGAATGATTTTTCATCTTTGACTTCATTTTCTAATGCTCGATCTGAATTACCTAAATTACATTTGACATTAATTTATGTCATATTGATTTATTTCAATGATGAAAAATAAAATAATTACCTAATTCAGACCAATCCGTTGGTTTCCTTTTATAGATAACAGTAGTTCTACATTTGATAGAGGTGAATGGTATATTATCACATTCATCCAGTGCAAATAATTCTAAAGGATCAGATGTTTCACCAAGAACTGTGTCACTACCTCTGCGAAACCAATTTGCATGACATAGTTTAGCACCGTTCTTATCTTGCCACATATATATAACTTTGGCAATTTGTAATGGAACAGTTGGATCACTTGATTCAATAAGGACACAATCATTAGCTCGAATTTCTTCATCTATTAATTTTACTGCTTCATAAAATGTTCTTCTACCATCCTCTGCAACAGGTGGTCCTATCCATTCTATTTTTTTATCAACATGTTTGAATGCTTTAAGAATCATTTTTTGAGTAATTTTTGTGTCTTCTATAATAATATCAGCTAACTCATCATCTTCAAGATCAGAGTCATCTGCTTCCTGCAAATGAATTAATTTAAATAATATTTTAAGAAATTACATATTAATCTTTTGGTATTAATATCAATATAATTACTTGAATGGCCATATTTGGACATCTTCTTCTAACACATGCTTGTTTATTTTTACCAGACCCACCAAACTTCGTCATATCTTTACACGCAATGCAAGTTCCACAATCAGATTGTTGGCAAGCTTCACATACTCCACATCTATGTCTCCTAGGACCCTATGTGTATAACAATTATGTAATGTATAAAAGCTTTGCTAGTAAAAAAAAAAAAAAAAAAAAAACAAAAAAAAAAACAAAAAAAAAAACAAAAAAAAAACAAAAAAAAAACAAAAAACGAACAAAAAAAAAACAAAAAACGAACAAAAAAAAAACACTTCTACTATATACATACAATCACATCTTTTTCATCATCCTTTGCTAATTGATCAGCGAAAAATGTTTCAAACGTATCGTTAACCAAATTTGTTGTTGTTGCTTTGGTCCAACTAGGCTTTTTCACTTTTTGATGCTTCTGTTGTACTCTACGCATTGCAGCTTTTTTACCAACCGTTACACCAGCCAAAGATACTAAAGCTCTCATACACGCATTTGTAATTAATAATGTATCTTCTGGTCCAGCTGAGGCATCTAAAGAAATAACTTGATCACAGATAAACTGTGCATGTCGAAGTAAAGCATCTTCTGTAAACTTAGATAAACCTTTTGGTGGTACTATAGTCTGAAATATAAATATAAAGTTAATTTATTATTTAATTGTTATAATAACATTAAAATATTTAAATTCCAAACACACCTGAAGTTTGTTTAATAAGTCCTCATAAGTTGGATTAATTTCATCTAATAAAAATTCTATAATAATTTTGCTCATATAGATCTTTTGTCTTATACTATCCATAAAAGGTGCATATGCTTCAGAAGGTTCCATTAAAATGTATTCTGCGAATGGTGTGGTAAAGCCTATAAGAGCTAATTCTCCTCCATCAAATCCAGAAACCCACCATTCATTTATTGGTCCCATATCCTTTGTAGGAACTCCTCCTTCTAGACATGCACTTTCTTCATAAATAGCTTTCATATATCCAGAGAAATATAATACTACATTTTTTTCAATCAAACCAGTATCAAAAGGACACAAGTGACCATTTTTGTCATACACACTGAAAAATTATAATATAAATATATTGATTTAATATTGTACAAATTATTTTGTATGATAATAATGTAATACTTTTATGTTACCTAAAATATGTTAATTTGTTTTGTGGCCTTTCATCACTTTCATGTATGATAGCCTCTTCTCCCGTAAATAAAGATAATCTTGGATCAGTCAAAGCAATAAATTCTTCTACAGCTCCATTAGGATGACCCTGGTACAACTTCATTTCATCCGGAATTAATTTTTGACGACAATATTCACACTTTTGCGGTATATCTAAACTTTTTTTAATTTGTGGCTTCATTTCAGTTATATTATGATTATTATCCTCGTGCTTAGGTTTTTTAGAAATATTATCAGGTTCATCATTTACAGTTTCATTAGATTCTATACTTTGTATCTTAATGATAGATTCAGGAATTGATTCATTTTTACTTTCAAAAGATTCAAAAGATTTTTGTTCATTATTTATTATAGGTTCTTCTGAACTTGTTTGCTTGGTAAACCTTTTCCAATAGGCTTGTAATTTTTCATTTTTATTAATATTCTTTTTATTCCTACTTGGACTGAGCATATTTTTATCACTGACATATTTTCCACTACGTAGCTTTTTCCTATCATTACCTACATCACATAATGCATTGTTGATAGAGAGCGGCACACAACTGTTTTCAATATCTTTAATATTACTTTCGTGATTCTTTTCTATATGCGAATTTATCTCATTAATATTATTCTCCTTGTAAATACTTCTTTTCAATGACAATCTATGACCATCAAGATTTTCAATTTCTGGATGATTTTCCTTTTCACTATTATCTCCATTAGAAACGATAGTTAACATTTTAAATAAAAACTTGTATTCACTTTTTTAAAATTCGTATTTCCTTTCACGTGCAAATCTTACCATAAATGTCGACTATTTCTGACTGTAGTGTTGGATGCGATAGCATTTTCTCACGCTTTTTCACAATATGTAGCATAACCTTTGCAACAAAGTACCACCAATACTGCCGCCAAAAATCTTAAGTGTAGATTTACAATCCATTTTCTAAGCAATGCCTTACGGTGAATCGACCAAACATAGTTTTTTTTTTTTTGTTTTTCTTTTTCTTTTTACACTATTCTGAATAAATGCACTATGGCATAAACCATCGAATTGGAAACTAGGGAAACTAATTATAAGGAAGATAATGTAATTGGAAGGAAATATTACTTTTTCCCGACATTATTATCGACATGAGAATCGAGCTAAAATCAGACGCCATTTTAAAATTATTGTTAACAAATGAAAACCAATAATTGATATAAACTTTTAATGAATCATTTTAAAAAATAATGTCTATTATTTATGATAAATTTAAAATTAAGATTAAAATTTTATTTCTATATTATTATACATATAAAATTATATGAGTAATCATATGCATATGAAAATAATGCAACGTTATTGTTAATGTTAATAAATTATATCAAACAATAATTTCTTCTTCACAACGTGTAAATTATCACAATGCATATCTACATATACTGACACATGAAAAATACTATAAGGAGAACATATATTATTATCTAATGCGTATTGTTTTTCCATTGTATAGTAACAAATATCTAATATATTTATATTTACAAACGTTCTTCTACGAAAACTTCATAAATTATTCAACGTTCTTAAAATTTTAAACTTTAATTTTGTTTAAATGTAAATTAGTACGAGTAAATAATATATTAGAACATTTCAACGAAAAATCCTATCGTTTTAATTAAAAGGAACATGGATATAGGGATATTTAAATAAAGGGAACAATAAATTTTCATATAAAATTTTCAATATAAAATAATAATGCATATATAATTAATATCTGCTGATATATAATCATACGAATATTATCCAAAGTGAAATATTTTAAAAATTACAACGTAGTAAAAAGTAATAATAGTTGAACATATGCACATTCATACAATTAGTCATGAAGTGTCTATTTAGAAGTAATTGTAAGCGATTACGATAACAATAGCTCCGAATGTATATAAACATTCGCGCGAACGTTCATACGATCTTTAAAATTTTTTTGTCACAACGATATTGATTCTTTTTGATTATAAAATTTATCATTCTTCATATCGACATGAAATTGTCATTTCAATTTTTGTTACCATTCCTTTGGATATCCTTGTCTTCACAAGAATTATTGTACAAATGGAGATATATAGATTTTGATTGGTATTGTGAGACTCATAAGAACGAATACATCAAAAAAGGATTATATATAAAAAATGCTTCAGTACCTATCGACACATTGATTACAAGTAATAGTTTTAAAATATTAAGAAAACAGAAAAAAAAAAAAAAAAAAAAAGAAAAAAGAAATTTTCTTTGATAAATCAAATAATAATTTATCGTGTAGATGGCCGAATATTTATTACTATACCACGTTCGAAAGGAGTACCTGCCAGTTTAGGAACCCTTAATACACAGAAACAAAATGGTGGAGGTCCTTTAGTTCGACCATATCCAAGTTGGGGATGGGCAAGTGATATACAAGATTGTTATAACACTATCATCAGTGTTTATAGAGTAGATGTAAGTATCAAACAACGAATCCAAATTCTTTTATTTTCTCATTTAAAATTTTCCTTTCGTTCTAGTTGGACGATTGCGGTAGATTATGGGTTTTGGACAATGGAAAGATTGGAGAAGAACAAAAGTGTCCACCTAAGATTTTAGCGTTTGATTTAAAAACTGATAGGTTGATGGTACGGAAAGAGATTCCCAATAAATATGCTTTTAATAGCAATGGTAATGGAAATTTAGTAACACCTTTGGTGAAAACTTCAGGAAAACAATGTGAGAAGATAACGGTGAGATTATTATAACTTTTTGTTAATTTTTTTGTCTTTTTGAAGATCGATTAAAACGATTATGATCGTTGAATTCAATTAAATAGATGTACATGGCGGATGTAGAGGGCTATGGATTAGTAATATGGAGAGGAGGCAATAATTTTCAAAGATTCGATTCACCAGATTTCGCGGCTGATAAAACGCTATCAAATTTTACATTAAACAATGATACTTTTTATCTAGCCGATGGTCTCATCGGACTGGCATTGTACGAAGACGAAAATAAAAGTAAAATATAATCTTTTTCGTTCGTTAACTTATCGCTAATATTATCTTAGCTTTTATTTTTCTTCCTTTTATTTTTCAGAGAATAGTAAATTATACTGTAGTTCATTGGCTTCTTATAATATGTACCATATATCAGTGAATTCATTGGAACAAAGTACTGATGGAAAAATTAATATACAGCAAGATAAGGGTGACGTTGATTTTCGCAAAGTACCATTGGCTATTAAAGGAAATACAATATTTTTTTCTAGTTTAGAAGATAATGCTATAAGAATGTGGGATATAAACACAGAATTCACCAAAAAGAATGTGGTAAAAGTCTAATTTTCATTGAATAAAAATTATATTTGTGATTAATTGATTTGATTACGAACAATATCTATGCAATTTTTTTCTCTTTTTCTTTTACTTTATAGAAAATAATAAAGAAGGACAATAATTTATTACAATTTGTTAGCGGCTTGAAAATTTTAAAGAATTCTAATAATACTTCGAAATGTACGACCATCTATGGACTGTCGAATAAATATCAAAAAGTAGCAACTGGTACACTATCTTTGAATAAAATCAATTATCAGATTTTCAAATATGAATTGAATTAAGACGAGATATTAATCGAATTTCACGATCAGGATTATCTTAAGTAAATATTGTATGTTTATTCTTCATTTCGAGAAAGAAAAATCAATCATACAAATACATTCTTTTGGTATTTATATCAATCTTTTTTTTTTGTGTTTTTCAGCTGACAATAACCCGCAATTCCGTGGATTTTATTATAAATATCTATATACGATAGCACTTTTAAATATTGCACAATAGGAGTTTTAAATATTGTATTCTTATATAATAATAATAATAATATATCAAAATGAAACAATAAAAAAATATATATTTACTCTTTGAAAAAGGTTTGTTATCATTAATCTTTGAAATTTGTTCATGCGAGTGTGAACAGATTTTATAGGTTCGTTTTTTTTTTTTTTTTTTTAAATTTTTTCCTCAATCGTTTTCGTAATTATCAAATCGTTAAATTTATTTTTAAATCACTCACTCTTTCTTTTTTCTTTTTCATTCTTTCTTCTCTCGTCTCTTCTCTTTTATCTCTTTCTCTTTCTTCGACCACATCTATGGGAAATAATAAACATTATTATAGTTTCGTATAATGAAAATGGCGAATTAATCGGTAACATGCGAAAATACGGAAAGAGGTTAAAGAGTAAAACGTGATAAAAAGCGTTTTGAAAACTCAATAGGATCCTTTAATACCGTAGTATCTACATACCAAATCCCCTTGTCGGCAGACTATTAATTCCAACTCTTTACTGCTAGATAGCGATACCATTTGTTATACCATGAAAACGCCAATTTCACAAAAGTTTCATTTCCTTTGCAAATTAGAACGAAACTCGAAGGGAGAATTCATTAATTTCCTATGCATCTCGATAGAGCCTAATATTCATTCTTAATTTCACAGCTTTTCAACCAAAATTATATCTTTCAATGAGTAACAGTTAATTCATACGAATACTTATATAATATTTCAATAAACTCTTTGTTGCTTTTTCTATTATTTAAATAGATAAATACTTCGCATGGTTCGAATGTTAAACCGAAAAGTATTACGTACGACTTAAGTATTAACTTAAAACTTTTTTTTTTCTCAATAACACACACGTATGAATTTTGTTGTCATTGCAAATATTAATCAGTATTGTGTAAGTTATTTCATCAAAATATTATACAAAATTAATTTAATTGTATAGTAATCGTATTTCATATAATAATATATCAATAATATTAACGTTATTTCATTATTTTTATATCTATATATTGTTATATTGTATAATAACAATTAATTTAATGTGTACTTGTATTATTGAAATGTAAATCAATTGAATTTTTATACTATAATTTGATAATATGTATACGTGTAATATTTTTCTTTTTTTTTTTTTCTTTTTTTGTTTTTGTTTTTTCTAATGAAGCTGAAAAAATGATCCTACTTTCGAAATTATCAATAATATACCATTCAATTTTTGTTCATCATTTTACGATAAAAAAAAAAAAAAAGAAGAAAGTAATTACCAGCATTTTTTTTTTTAGAACCCAAATGTAAATAATATTACGCAGATGCGATTGTTATTATGGTATATAGAAATAACGGTACTTTGATATGCACTTCTTTTTTTTTTTCTATTTGTTCAGCAATTTTTTTCACGCTAAGTCCCGATTTACATGGTCTGAAAATATTTTACGATGCAAAAGTATATTACTTTTAGCATGTTACATGTTGCATTAATAAAATCAATAAGAGCTCGAACAGAAATATATCTACGTAATTCCTCATATATAACATTGCAACACATTATCGTATTGAAAGCGTAACGTTGAAAATAGTGTCTTTGAATGAAATCTATTTATATCTAAATGAATACACATCAATTGAAATTATATTATTTCTTACAATGAATTTTCTGTTTCATGATAAATAAATTTATTTATTTTATACTCTTTTAAATAAACTTTTGTATTTTTCTATTTCTCAATTTTTTTTACAGTTCCTTTGTTTATATTTACTTCTTATTTTTATATTTTTCTAACAGAAAAATGTAAGCAAATCGTTTGGTGTTTCATCGATCCATATCTATATACGTATATAAGTAACATAAATCGTCGAATTATTCAATCGCATTCGATTATGGATTTGCCTCGTACCATGAAGTAAATAAATATGATTTATTTCGGAAGTAAGTTCGATCTTTTCACCTAGGCATCCATTTTCACTATCCATTCTCGAACGACGAATAATTCGCCTTTGGGAAGTTTTCTTTTTTTTTTCCTTTTTTTTTCTCTCTCTTTTCCCCTTCGGTAATAGACGAAAAGACGTACACATTCGAGAAAAGGTTTCTCGACTTTTCGCTTCGGGTCGTTCTCGATACTCGATTCCTTGAAGAGGAGAGAAGGAAGGCTTGCAATTCGTGGAAGATCCCGAAAGGGCTCGGAATTTCCTTCGGAATCCTTTTATGGAGACTAATGCGTCGGTTTGTCATTTTCATCTTCCATTTATCTCCGTTGTAAGCCGTCGATATCGATATCGATTCACCATCCCCTTTCCCCTTTTCTGCCATATCGTATCAGAGAGTGAGGTGGGTAAAGGAGGTGGGGAGGGGGGGCGGGGTAACACCACCCTCAGAAATATTTCTAATCCTCGCGTAGAATCGAGCCAGCAGAAAGAGGATGAGCCTCACGGATTTTTCTTTTCAACGAAAAGCAGCCTCAGAAGTTTGAGCTTGAGCTTTCGCATTATCGGATTTCGTCAAAAAAAGAAAAAAAAAAAAAAAAAAAGAAAAAAAAATCCATCAAGGCCGTTGCCACTCATCAATATTCACGTTTCGTATTAAATATATCTTTTAAGAAGATCTTTGAATTTATTTTACAAAATCACATTAACTTATGTCTTACCGATTTGTCAATATTTTAATGTCCTTTTCTCCCTTTCTCTTATTAAAAATAATAAATATATTTCATTCAATAAAAAGTATATTATACAGTAAATAATTTTAATCTTGAATTTGACAAGTAATTTAAACTGAACTTCACTATAATCTTGTATAATTCGCTTGTTATAATTATTCCATGTTTTTTTTTCTTACCCATTACACATTTTTCCGTACGCTTTTTTCCATATCGAGCTTATGCTCTTGTGAAATAAATTATATTTCTCTCTCTCTTTCTCTCTTTCTCTCTCTCTCTCCCTCTCTTTCTCTCTCTCTCTCTCCCTCTCTCTCTCTCTCTTCTTTTTTCCTGTCCTTCCTTCGTCCTTTTTACGGCCCTCCATCGTCGAGTCCCCCGACGCGTTCTAGCACTTTTGCCTAAGAGAAATGCCTCGACTAAGAGAATACGCCGGATTTATTGAATTTCAACGTGGAACGACAAAACGTGACGGAATCTGGCGTAGCTCGTATCACGTAAGCGTAATGGCCCAATTCGTGCTTTCATGTTTCTCTCGAATATACGACTGCTGTGTGTATATTCGTTATACGTATGAACAAGCTCAACGAGTGAGAGAAATATTCAACTCAGAGAGTTTGAAAATTCGCGATATCGTTGTATTTTTCGAATTGTTTTCTCGACTCGAAATCCAACGTAAATTTGAAACGACCCTTGCGATCCCAAGTCGTCCCTTTTACAGATATGCTTACGAATGCTTACGAATATTGGTGAATATTGAAAGGAAGCTTAGTACTATCGCACACGTTTCCTTTGATATGTAGACGAACTCGGGCAATATTAATATAACCTGAGGAAAGTAACAGCTCTATGGTATAAACTGAAAGGAATTTTTGAATATTTCCGAGATCAACTATATATATATATATACACATATATATATATATATATATATATATATATATATATATATATATATTTCTATCTACATATCACGAGTTAATTGAATACAAAATTAATATAAACAACTAATGATGAATATCAATATTTGAAATTAATTTGCGAAAAAATGGAAAGCTAATTTTCAGTAGTTAATTTGTTAAAATCAAATTTATTACGAAATTTTATTAATTTTTTACATTTATAAACGTCCACCTATAATATTACTCAAAACATAATTTCAAGCTTGAAATTTCTTGCGATCGTATAAGAAAAATTATATCTCCGATAAGAAAGATAGATAGATAGATAAATAGATAAATAGAAAGAAAGAAAAGGAAATGGAAATCGTAAGAAATCGCCTGTTTTCTTCCGATTTAACCACTGACGGATCACAGACGCGGAAGTAACTTCTCCATTTGGTCACACGACACGCTCTCTCGGTGAAATACGATTTTCTTCTTTTATTTTTTCTTCTATTTTTCTTTCTTTTCTTTTCTTTTCGTCTCTTTCCCTTTCTTTCCTTTCTTTTTTCGCGTACATTGTCGGACGACAGGTAAGAAAGACGGATGAAAATATTCAGAGTGCTTTTCTCGAGGACACAATCGCCGGGGAATCGAAATGTCAAGGAAACTCGTCAGGAAGACCGAGGAACGACGACTGCAAAGAGGGAGGAAAAAAAAGAAAGAGAAGATGAAGAAGAAAAAGAAGAAGAAGGAGAAGAAGAAGAAGAAGAAGAAGAAGAAGAAGAAGATGATGAAGAGGATAAAAGAAGAATTTCATCCTTTGTCGGTTTCTTCGCACTACCGTGCAGCACAAAGTTACTTAAAGAAACGAAAGGAAAAGAAGAGACTTTCTATCCAAGACGACCTTTCTTTTGTTGAATTATGACTGTTATTCCACGCATTCATTCGCGATAACATCTCTCAAACCGGCCGTTAAGAGTTTGACAAAAAAAAAAAAAAATCCTTTGACTTTTCCGAAATCTTACGAAGATAAATAAGAAATCTTGTTCGCTCGAATGATTCAAATAATATAGAAAAATCGTCGGAATTCGAAAAGAAAAGAAAAAAAAACGATGGGAAAAACAAAGATTGTTTTGAATGATGCATTTCGATGTTCTCCTTCTCTTTTTTTATCTCTTTGTCTCCCTCCCTCTCTCCCTCACTCTCTTTCTCTCATATTTCCAAGGCGAGGGATTTACCGCTTTCGCTCGATTACTAAGGCTAATTTCGATGAAAGACAATTTTCTCGAGCCATTCTCCTATGTTTCTTTTTTCCTACTTTCTTTTTTTTTTCCTTTTTCACAAGAATCTAGGAAGGATGACGAAGTACATAAACCGTGAGATAAATTTCCACACGAATTTTCTCAAAGTTTATCGACAAGAGAAAAGGTAAGAGCGTGCTGCCTGTTCGACGTTGTTCGACGATAGTTTGTTCCAAGTTGTGCTTCGTCGTTCGGGCATCTCGAACGTTCAAATGCAATTACCACTTCCTTGTGAACATCAAAGGAACCTA